GGATGGCAGGACTTGGGAACCAGAAAGTTTCTACTCAACACAATAGCTCACGCGAGCTTATTCCCTGGGGTGGCTGGTTTGCAACGAGGTGCTGTCCCTCGATCTGTTGGACTGCTTGGGGAAAATCTATGTTCCGAAAAAGGCCAATCGTGAGAAGGCGCGTTTTAGTTTTGAGAGGAGCCGCTGTTGGTAAAGATCTGCGCATTTTCAAAAGCTTGTACAGAGAATAAACTCTGGTCTAGCTATCACGACTTCCAGGGTTTCATAATTCAAGTTTTAAATAGTCATAATTCAGTTATATTTTGGAGAGCTGGGTTATCTTTCTTAAGCATTTAATTGTTTTATCCTATCCTTTTCTTCATTCCTTCCTTTGAAACACCTTTCTTTCCCTAAATATACAATATATGGGTGAGCAGGGGAAGGCCAGGGAAAATAGGTGTCTGTGTGTGTGCATGTGTGTGTGTACACCAATTTTGCCTATCAAAAGTCATTTGTCTTTGTTCCCATGGGCTCTGGAACTGTGCCAGGTTAAGGCAACACAGGGAAGAGTGGGTGCCCACTGGGTAAGCTGCTCTCTGCAGCCTGATCCTTCCTTAAATTTCCAGACAGATGCCTCTAGTTTTAAGGCCAGCAGAGGTTTATTGTAAACAGGACTAGGGATAGAATGCTTGAAAATACACCCCATCACCACCAAAAGGAAAGAGTTTGATTCAGAAAAAAAAAAAATTAAGTGGGTTGTTTAGGCTAGATTGCACCTGATCAAGCAAAAACAGTCAGACACATCAAGTTTACCCAAAAATGTTGACATTCTGATAGACGAACCAGAGAAGAATGTCATTGCTTAGGAAAGAATTCCTAGCTATGGGGCAAATGCTGCTTTGTGAATTGTAGAAGCTCTGAATTTTGGTTAGAGCCGGATATGTGGAAAAGGTTTATTTTTCTTCTGTGGGGCCCGCAGCACAACCTCACAGCCCACAGAAAGATGCAGAGCACTGAAAGCATTGAGAGCAAATTGCAGATACAGATTACTTCCTGGCTGTCTCGACCTCAGGGCCTAGCACTTAAAAACATAACTTGTTTCTTTTAATCATAGTTTATTATTTCTCATTATTTGCAAGGGCCTACTCGGAAAGAGGAATTAGCTATCAACAAAGGGCAGCGTAATCTTCACTGCAAGCTGTTTCCAAGGCCCTGGTTTTTACTTGGGCTCCCTAGCCTTGGTGTGGGTGGGGGAGAGTGATCAGCCAGGTAGAAACGGGTGATACTTACCCCAAATAAAACATAGGCCCTGGTGGCTGCGGGGTAACCGCTGCACAGGCCTGGATAAGGCGAGCAGGCACCGAGGAGTTGAGGTCAAAGGCATCTAAGGGCTAGGGAGAAATTTAGCGGTTGACAGGGAGGGCAGAAGGGAGAAAGAGGACAAACAGGCAAGAGGGAGAGGGAGAGCGGCCAGAAGCCAACGTCCGCTGCAATTGAATGGCTGTTCTTAATCTCAGGGGTGCAGGGCCGAGCTTGAGAATGCTGAGGCAATCGATAAATGAATGAAGTCTTTTCTTGAGGAAGCTCACACCCCGGTGTTGCAGTCTAGGGAGTTTGGACCTTGGGGCTGGTCTAGGATGCTGGGGACTCTGAGACCGCCGGGGAGCGCAGCAGCGTTTAACTTAGAGTCGATATCCTCGCCAGAACCAACGGCTGCAGGCCAGTCCTGCCCGGGGCGCACCCGGAGGAGTCTCCGGCAGTCTCTCTCTCAGCGCTCCCAGCTCAGCAAGTCAAGGTGGGAGTGGGGCGACTGTCCTGGGCCCTGAAATGACCCCTACACATACTCACAAATCACAGGCTTACACATTCTTGTGTGTGTGTGTGTGCACACACGTGAGAGAGAGAGAGAGAGAGAGAGAGTAGTTTATGGAAGAAAAGGCTCAACCCCAACTTTCCTGTTTGGTTTATTAGATGGGGAGAAAGAGGCTGTTGGAAAACATTTCATTCTCCCCAAAGGCGGATGAAGACTCAAGGGCCAATGCCACGGTCTGCGAGGCCGGCTGTGGGGCTTCTAATTCCTCAGCTCCTCAGCCCTGGCAGCCTTCTTTTGTCGCCCGCAGCACCAAGCTGACATTTGTAAACTTGGTTGGCAAGTGCGAGCTCCTCTCCTGGATCTCATCCAACCAAGAGGTCTATTTGGCCACCCTGCAGGGCCCTGACGGGGACCAGGCCCGAGCTGCCAGTAGCAGTGCACCAAGCTTGTCTTACTAGCCAAGCTAGCAGGGTGGCTGATTCTCAAGAAAGACCTGGAAATAGTATAGAGTAGGATCTCTAAACGGTAGGTTCAAGGGCATCTGGCCTAAGAAGAAGGCTTTGAGGGGTCTGTGAACCCGCTAAAAATGATGGATCAAGTTGTGTGAATGTGCACATGTGTGCCTTTTTATAGGACAGAGTAACAACTTGCCTTAAATTTTCTAAAGGGGCCTTAATTTCCAAAAAAGGTCATGAGAGATAGCTTTAGATCATTGTCTTCATTTTAATGTTGTAGCCCCCACTACCTCCAACATATTCTCCAATGACCACTGGCCCTCTGGAGAATCCTGGGGCCTGGGAAGCTGCTTTCTGCCATTAGCTCTGAGAAGAATGGCTCTAGGCCTTAAGTCCCGGCTCCAAGTTCCGGTCTACAGGCCAGCTTTCCTCAGGGAACCCTCGCCACTCTAGGGACCCACTTCTCACTAGACAGAGCTTTCCCTACAGGAATTGGTCCTAGGGGCAAAGCCTTTTTCTCAGTCCTCGGCTTTGTGGCATTTCTCCGTGCAGCTGCTTAGCGCAGCAGTCCCAAACAGTCCCAGCAGCTTGGTGAACTAGGTAAGAGGGGCTGAGGGTGCTCCAACACCTTTCGAACTCAGGTTAGTGTGCCTCAGACGCCTAGCCCAGTGAGAATTTGCCTTGGCCTTGTGCGCTGGAGTGATGCGATCAGAAAAGGCGAGGTCACGATCTCTCTGAGCAGGCAGGCTCCCTGACTTGAACCTCTGCGGCCTCGGCTGCTCCGCGCTGCGGCCTCAAGACCCGGTCCGCCGGAGAAAAAAATGGCTCAATGGTGCTCACCCCATTCGTCTCTTCCTCTCTCTCTCTCTCTCTCTCTCTCTCTCTCTCCTTTTTCACTCCCTTCTCCTCTTCACCCGGAGGCTCGGTTGGCAGAGCGGGTCTTGGGCGCAGAGGAGTTGGTGGCAGGAGCGCAGCGCGGCGGTGGTGCGGACTACGCGGCTATGCGCGCGGAGCAGCCGGGGCCGGCAGCGACTGCAGTTGCTTGAATCTCAGAAACCAGAGCCCAGGTTCTGCAGCCAGTTCTCCTGTGCGCGCTCGGGGTCCTCTTAGGCTCTAGTTCCTTCTCAGGCGGGGCTCATTCCACGAGAACGAGGCCAAGTGCCCGGCAGATCTCCCGAGTTGGAGTTGACCGGTCTTTTCTTGAGGCGCGCAGGCCCCAGCGGTCTGCTTCTTGGGATTCCGGCGTTCAGCAACTCCAGCCAACGCCTCTGCACGGGTTGCAGCTGGCGGGCGAACAGGCCTCGGGGCGCTCTGGAGAGATGTAGCCCGCAGGCCAGGAGCAAGACAGCCACTTCTCAGGCTCCGCTGGATCTGGCCAGAAAAGGTCGCATTTCCTGAGACATGTATGAGGCCCACAATTGGGGGCTAGCCCCCGTCCGCTTCCAGTTGACTAAGAGGGTGCCCCCCCCCCGCAAGGCTGGAGGAAAAGAAGGCCCGGGTGTCCGCTGAGCTTAGGGCCTAGGAGCTGAGTTCTCCTGTGTCTGGGCCAGGAGCCCAGCCGGGCCTCACAGGGAACGGATTTCCTCACCGCGGGCCTCGTTAAAGTGCGCGCACCGCGGGAACGAGCGCTGCCCCAGCCTTGGGTTTGGAGGGGAGGGGGAAAGGGGAAGAGGGGAGGGGACGGAGAGGCAAGAGTGTGGTGACACTGTACTTGTCATAGACTCCGGGAGCATGCAAATGCCAATGCTAAAGGCGGAGATCCGGAGAACAGTGTGACAGATGTGACTGCCAAGCTCCCCCTTATATGTTACCCCCGCTCCAAATTGTCCCTCCGGACAAGTTAAAGCCCCAAGGGCCAAAGTTTCACTTCCCTAAAAAGGCCTGTGAATTAAGAGCCTTGTCAGGGGAATGGGGCTAACTGGGTCCCTGAATCTGGCTCTGGCCTCTGGCTGGGGATGAAGGAATCTTTTGCACCAAGGCTGCCCAGTCGTTTCCCACTGCCGACAGGAGTTGCAGGGAAGGTGATCCAGGTGAGCATGCTAGAGGCAGAGACCCTAACTGGATCAATCAACTGGGGAAGGAGAGCGTCCGGGGCTGAGGGTCCAAGGTCCCGTCCTCGTGTATATTTGGGAGAAACTCCTTGTGCAATGTGGAAAGTAGAGGTGGCCTGAGCCAGCTCCTCGTCCGCTCTGGATTCCCGACACTCTGAGGTGAGGGTCCTGGTGCCTTTGGAACCAGGTGGGCCACATTGAGAGCCAGAATCCAGAGGTGGGACCAGCTCCAGGTCCGTGACTGAAAGGGAGGAGGTTGACGCCCCGACAGGGCCCCTTCAATGGTCACAGCGCGCTGGTGGCTAGTGGTCTCTTCTGCTACAAGAATGAGGGGCACTCAAGGCAGACAGGGCGCACACCATAAACACGCCACTTGTTAACTATGCGGGGCCCAAGGACGCTTCAAACAGACCCCTGCTTGGGGGCTCACGTCCTGGTAGGGGCGGGGCGTACTCAGGGGCCCGGCCTCCCACCATCCATGTTGGGGCAGCCCCACAGCTCCCGGCTTTGGGGCCCGAAGTGTCAGGCGTGCATCTCCCAGCCCATCAATACAGATTACATATTTATATCAATCGCGGGCTCGGAGGGCGCCCTCAGAGAGCGGCCCCGCGCCTACGAAACCAAACTGGGAGTGGTCGCGCGGCAACTCTGGCTCGGGATTGGCTGTGGGCGCCCGCCGCGGTGCGGGGGGATTGCTAATCGTATTCAGCATGTTTTGCACAAGAAATGTCAGCCAGAAAGGGCTATCTGCTCCCTTCGCCAAATTATCCCACAACAATGTCATGCTCGGAGAGCCCAGCCGCGAACTCTTTTTTGGTCGACTCGCTCATCAGCTCGGGCAGAGGCGAAGCGGGCGGCGGTGGCGGCGGCGCAGGGGGCGGCGGCGGTGGCTACTATGCCCACGGCGGGGTCTACCTGCCGCCGGCCGCCGACCTGCCCTACGGGCTGCAGAGCTGCGGACTCTTCCCCGCGCTGGGCGGCAAGCGCAATGAGGCGGCGTCGCCCAGTGGCGGCGGCGGTGGTAGCAGCGGGGGCCTAGGGCCTGGGGCTCACAGCTACGCGCCCGCGCCCATAGACCTGTGGCTGGACGCTCCGCGGTCGTGCCGGATGGAGCTGCCCGAGGGCCCGCCGCCGCAACAGCCCCAGCAGCAGCCACCGCCCCCGCCACAGCCACCTCAGCCCCAGCCGCAGGCCACCTCGTGCTCCTTCGCGCAGAACATCAAAGAGGAGAGCTCTTACTGCCTCTACGACTCCGCGGACAAATGCCCCAAAAGCTCAGCCGCCGCTGCCGAGCTTGCCACCTTCCCGCGGGGCCCACCGCCCGACGGCTGCGCCCTCGGTTCCTCCAGTGGGGTGCCAGTGCCGGGCTACTTCCGCCTCTCGCAGGCCTATGGCACCACCAAGGGCTACGGCGGCAGCGGCGGCGGCGGCGCACAGCAGCTCGGGGCCGGCCCGTTCCCCGCGCAGCCCCCGGGGCGCGGCTTCGATCCACCTCCCGCACTAGCCTCTGGCTCGGCGGACGTGGCCCGGAAGGAGCGAGCCCTCGAGTCGCCGCCGCCCCCTACGCTGGCTTGTGGCGGCAGTGGCGGCGGGGGCTCCCAGGGCGAAGAGGAGGCGCACGCGTCGTCCTCGGCCGCCGAGGAGCTCTCCCCGGCCCCTTCCGAGAGCAGCAAAGCCTCGCCCGAGAAGGACTCCTTGGGTAAGCAGGGCGCGCCGCCGGAGGGCCGCAGTTAGGCGGGCAGACAGATAGGCAGATCCAGGAAAGCGAGGGAGCAGAGAGCCAGGAGCCCGCGCAGCAGCCGGTCGGCCTTGGCCCGAGCTGCAGGCAGGCTGACCTTGTGAACTTGCTTTTTAATATTTGGGCGTGGGGACGCAGTAAAAATTCATGTCGGGCTTAGTGCCCCACACCAAGAAGTTCTCCGTGCTGGCCTCAGTTCGTCCAGGCTGGGGGCGAGGACACACGCGAGCAGCCCCCTCTTGTGCATACCCTTCCCTGTGACCCGGGGCACCCCAAGCAGTGGTCCCGTCCCAGCCTGCGCGGCGCGGCCCACGCGGGGGGAGGGGGAGGGAGGGAAAGTGGCTCGCCCGCAGATAGCGCGGATGTTTGTAAGGCATCCAAAATAAGCAGCCGCCAGCGCCAATAAATAAGCCCATTAACCGGCGAAGTTCGAGTTTACGATCCCCCATGCTTTTTTCAAAGTTGCTGGAGGGGCGGGAATCCTCGTTGCGGGGAGAAGAAAAGGCAAATCGGGCCCTGACGCCGGGCCCGAGTGAGAGCCAGAGAGAGGGGCCATTTCTCTTCCCTTGGAACTTCAGGTCTCCCAGACTGTAATTCCCTGGCTCCTGGAGAGATGTGAGAGCGGGTCCTTGATCCCAAATCTGGTTTTGGTGCCTTCCCCCTTGGCCCAACTACGTCCTTCTCCCCGTCCTCTCCTGGCCTTGGACAGCCAGGAGGCTAGAGTGAGACCCAGCCACGCTGCCCGCTCCTGGTCCAAGTAAGGACCCTGCGTCCCCAGCCCTAGGGCTGCAGGAAATGCTTGTCTGCCTGCTGTGGGGTGAGAAGCAAAGGAAGGCGTTAAGTTCAAGATATACAGCCTGCCCTCCGGGGTGTTCGTGCTGCAAGTGCCTGCAGCTTTGTGCTAAAACAGGTGTTTGGAAAAAAGTGCAGGAAAATGTAAATTGAGAGGGTGGGAGTAGGCTGGAGGTCCACTTGATTTGCACATGCCTTTTGGAGGAATTGCTTGTTCCCTGCAAGCCAAGGGGAGCAGGAAGCTTCTCTCTGTGACTCAGGGCATCCCAGAGATATGAAAGAGATATCCCGAATTCTCTCCAGCGACCAGCCCACAGAGCCTCGACTTAAGCTTCCCCTCTCTATTCTCTTCAACTCCAGGCAATTCCAAAGGCGAAAATGCAGCCAACTGGCTCACGGCAAAGAGCGGCAGGAAGAAGCGCTGCCCTTATACGAAGCACCAGACGCTAGAGCTGGAGAAGGAGTTTCTGTTCAACATGTACCTTACTCGAGAGCGGCGCCTAGAGATCAGCCGCAGCGTCCACCTCACGGACAGACAAGTGAAAATCTGGTTTCAGAACCGTAGGATGAAACTGAAGAAAATGAACCGAGAAAACCGGATCCGGGAGCTCACAGCCAACTTTAACTTTTCCTGATGAAGCTCCAGGCGACGCCGTTTTTTTTTTTTTTTTTTTTTTTTCCGCTTCCAGGGTCCCCTCTGTCTTCGGCCTCTGCGCTAGGAACTCGCACCTGTGCCGGGGAGCCCCATTCTTCCCTCCCACACTCGCCATCTCGCCTGCGTTACATCTGTGCAGGGCTGGTTTGTTCTGACTTTTTGTTTCTTTGTCTGTTTGCTTGGTGCTGGTTTATTTGTTGTTTTCTGGGGAAAAAGCCATATCGCGCTAAAATTCTGTAGCTAGGTCTTGTCCTAAATGTCAAGTGCTGGCTGGGCTGGGTTTGCTGCCTTGGGGTCCCACAGCTCCAAATGGCCCCTGTGCTTCTGGCCAAGCTGGTTTCCTGGTCAGCCACGGGGGGCAAAACTAGCCGGAAGGCCGAGGTCCCACTGTCGGCGCTGAGGTGTCTGGCCTGAGGTCAATGGTGCAGGAGCCACCACGGGCTGGCCAGCGGCGAGGGCTGGGTTGTATTTAATCAGGGGATGCAGGCCCCTGGTTTCTTTTTTTCTTTCTTCTTTTCTTCCTTGGCAAAGAGAAGGGCTTATAGGCATGGTCATGCAGGTTGGCAAAAGGGTTTGACTTTGGCTGATTGGAAAAGCAAGAAAGAAAGATGAATTTTTCCTTCCTCTGTAAGATATCCTAGCTTTACAAAAAACAAACACGAAAGACCAGGAGAAGCAAATGCCCAGTTTCTGCCAGGTTTTGCATTGCTGAATTAAATTACTTCTGAATTTCCATATCTTTCAGGATGTAGATAAATAATGTAGTTTTCTTTATACACATGGAGTAGTATTTTCATTTTCTTTTCTTTTCCTTTTTGTCATGAAATAATCGTTACCACTGGTAACAATGACAAGCACACCACAATTCTCCCTATCTTGTGGAGGTTTTTTTTTTTTTTTTTTTTTTTTTAATTCACTTTTAAAACTTTCTGATATTCACAGAAGCCAAGGAGGGCTGGGGCAAGCGGAAACGACCAGAGAAAGGGAGACATTGTTTAAATTTCTTTATACTGTGAAGTTACATGCATAAAAGGGTCAAACCTGTAGGTGCAGAGAAAGAAAAATTATAAATACAAATCTGTATAAATGTCTATTATTATGAAAAATTACCAATCTTGTTTTAAGCAAATGCATTCTATCGTTATTATAAATGTTAGTTCTAGCTCTATTCTAATCTTAAATCAGAATAAATTAATATTGTAATGCTGCTGTGAGTGGGGGAAAAAAAGACGATGTTTATGTTCTTATAGAAGAATAAAAGCTGTGGAATGAAGCTTTTTAATTTTACCTCTTTTTTGACTTCTTATCTTCACCTTCCACTTTATCCCGTCCACCACTTTTACAACAGGAGGACCAGCCTGCGCCCCCTGCAATTACTTTAGGCATCTATTTAAATATTACCTAGACGGTCGTAATTTGTCTGGGCCCTATCGCCCTGGTGCCGTAAGGTTTGTCGGCTTTTGTTCAGTTTTATGACTTGCTAGTATATCTGGGTTGTGGCTGTCTTGGACCAGTGATTTCAGTTGAGAGAAGAGCTGCATAGACAGAGGGAGCCAAACAGGATTTCTTTCGGGAGCCTGGAGGAGGCTTGCAGAGGCCGGTTATTTTTGCGGGTCCCCGGCTCCCAGATGACCCCCCCCCTCCCAGCCTAGGGATCCAGGGAGCAGGCCGGGCCCACAGAGCGTCACTAGCTAGAGTCCGCCGCGTGGAGAAGGTGGACCCCGGCCCGACCACTGGGGCTGCCCCCTCCCCCAGCTCGGTCTCCCCCACCTGGTGGCTCTCCGCGGGGCCACGCGTTTCCTGTTCGCCTGAGGGCCCCCCCCCACGACGGCTGTGGGGGGAGGGAGCGCGGGAGCGCGCGCCCCAGTGGGCGAGCTGGCGGAGAGGGGGAGAGCGGGCAGCGGAGAGCGAGCGCGGGAGGCCGTGGCCAGACAGGGAACCCGGCTCGGTGCCGTCCCTGGCGCTTTCGAGTCGCCCACGTCTGCCGCCTCTCGGCGCCAGCACGCTGAGCTGCCAGATTTGGGAAACCAATGCGCCTACTGCCCGTTCCCTGCTCTGTCCTCGCCTTCCTTTTTCCTCTCTTCCCGTGGTCTTTCCGCTCTCCCTCTCCCAGGCTTACCCTCTCAGGCTTACCCTCTCTCGGGGCCAATGGTTTCTCCCTCCTGGATGCATTTGTGGCAGCCCGGCACGGGCGGTGGCTGCAGCGGTGCAGGTTGACGAGGGGCCCGGTCGGGCGCGATCGCTGGGTTTCTCGTCTTGCTGGCGGCGGCGGTGGCGGCGGTGGCGGCGGCGGCGGCGGCGGGCGAGGCAGCCCTGCACGGGCAGCACCAGAACTGGTCGGTGATTTAGGTAGTTTCCTGTTGTTGGGATCCACCTTTCTCTCGACAGCACGACACTGCCTTCATTACTTCAGTTGAAATCGTCTCCAGGTATCTCTGCGCGCGGGGGCAGGGCCTGGCCGGGCATCCTGGCCCCGACAGTGCTAGGGCTTCAGTGGCAAGCTCGGCTTTCCCCTCGAAGGAGCCTTGAGACTGCCTCCTTTTCAGCGCTGTGCCAGCAGGCCGGCCTCCTCCACCCCACCTCCACTAGCCCGGAGCAGGTATGGTCGGTCAGGTTAGCTGCTCCTTCCCGGACGCCGTGGGCGTGGTAGGAATTCTGGGCCCCCGGCCATTCAAGGTCAGGGGCGCACGCTTCTATCCTGGGCCTCCCCCGCTCCGAGCTTGGGCTAATGCCTGGAACCCCCGTCATTTCCCTGAGAGGCTAAGACCCTGCTTGCCTGCGCGCTCAGGCAAGATCCCTTTGCTAATGGAGACCCAGGCTCCCACCAGGAGACGCCGGGAACACAGGGCCGAGATCCTGGCCTTGTCACTGACCCTCCTCTCTGTAACAGTATCCTCTGCTCTCTGAATCTTTTCTGCTTTCTTTCTCTCCCTCCCTCCTTCCCACACCTTCTTTCCTTTCTCTTTTGTCCCCTCCTTTCCCTTTTCTTCGCATCTTCCTCTTTCCTTGTTTCTCTTTCATCTTCTTCATCTTCATCTTCTCTCTCTCTTCCATTCTCTGTCTCAGACTCCTCTTCACCTCCCCACACCAGTCTTGTGGAGGAGCCAGGGCTGGCTTGCCAGAGCCCGAGGGAGCTTGTCTCATCTTTCTCTGCGTGCTCAAGTTGTGGATGGGGTCCGCTGAGGAAGAGTTCTCTTGGGGCGGCTATGCAGGGCCCATGGGCCTGGGCCTGGAGTGCTGCGGAGCAGACAAGGCCTCGGTTATGATCACGACCGGGTGGCGGCGGCCTTGCGTTCTCCGCGATCGGCAACGCCGACCTGGAAGACCCGATTGGGTGGCGCCCACGCTCTGAGGAGCCTTTGTGTGCCCATGCCGAGAAAAGGGAGGCCTGCTCCAGCCTCACTGGGGACTCTGGCTGGACAGGGACTGAGGTCCAGCCATGCTCGCTGGAACCTCATCCTCTTCGGCTTGGAGCTAGACCCAGGTTCCTCACAGGCTCTCTAGGCCTGTCAGGCAGAGCTGGGGCTTTGACAGAAATGAAGGAGCCCTGCTACAGCAAAGGCTTGGCTGCTTGCTTCTATCAGGTTCAAAATATGTGTTAGATAAGGCACCCTTGTGTAGCCAGGTGCTGCAGCCAGGAGATAGGGGGACTCTTCCAAGCTCCAGTCGGTTTATAACAGGGAAAAGAAGTCTCGAATTCCAGGGCCATTGGGATACAAAGTTAAATCCTTGTTCCAAGTTGTAGTCTATAGCCGGATGAGCCATTCCCGCTATCAGAAACTAAAAACAACCATCTTTTCCCCTTCCCCCTGCCCCACACATACATACATGCCTTCAGACTCCTCTCCTCCAAGCTGTGCTTCCCTTCCCAGCTCAGGCTGGGGCCCAGGGACTGTTGTCATTGCGCAGCCCACGTCCTGTTATCTGAAAGGCTCACACCCTGCTCCCTTTGACTCTCCTCTGCCGTTTGCCAGCCCTGGCTGGGTATTGGGTTGATTTCGAAGGCCAAGGTTTTAGAAGAACTCTCAGGCAGGAAGGGGCGGCTTGTAATTACACCCACTTACTATTTCTTCATGCACACGCAATCATTTTCGCCTCCAAAATAAAAGCAGACACAAAAGCCTGAAGATATCTGTCCCAAACGTCTGGGCTGAGGAGCAACAATATTTAGCTTTGTGTTTTCTCTGCTTACCCCCCCCCCTTTCTGGGCACAAGGAATGGCTGCTTAACACTCAACGCCTGCTAATTATTTAGTAACCATACTATTTTAGGGCTAAAGCCATTTGAAGGAGCAGCCTTTTTTAATTTATATATATATATATATACATATTTATACACACACACATATATATATATATATATATATATACACACACACACACATATATATATATATATATATATATACACACATACATACACACACACATACATACATACACACATACTAACAATTAGTGTCCTTTCTGGGTACAAAAAGTGGAAAAGGCAGCCAGGCGCGGGAGTCTGTTCGCAGACAGTTACAATTTGGAGTGAGGGTTTCCTCCACGTTCAATTTTTCTTAATAGGAATCTCAGAGGCCCGGCGACTGCCACTATTTGGGACCTTTTGGACTGTGGAAGGGGTGGGGATGACGCGGAGGAATTTCCTGGGAAATGAAAATATTCGGGGGGAGGGGGCTGAGGCAGCCTGGACTGGCCACGTCGGAGTTCATTGTGTCCGCCACTTCCCTGTTCCGGGCCTGGGCCGAGGGAAGGGGTACCAAGTCTGTCTCCGCGCAGCCTCACCGCCTTGCTCCAGGGAAGAGCTTGGCAGCTGGGCGTCCCCACTGGGATAGGGAGGTGTCTGTGTGTTCTGTGTGTGTTGGGTGATTACCGGAGCTGTTGGAGAGAATGAAGGCAAAGAAGGAGCTGGAAGCGTGCCCTCGCTGCCGGCCCTCGCAGTGAGGGAAGTGGGCTAATGAGAAACACACCCTGGCAGGCACAGTATTCACACGTGAATTTAATTACTCCAATTCTAGGCTTGCTGCTTTCTGTTTGGAATTGGGGTGTGTTTGTCCCTTCCAACTAACAGAGAGGTTGTGGCCTTTTACTTCACCCCAAAAGGCTCTTAAGGGGTGAGAAATACCCTTCCCAAAGTGGCTCGGCCACGGGATGCGATTAAAGCCATGCCCGTGCCCCACCCGTTTTAATTTCTAGCCCTGGCCTTGAGCGGCAGCCCTTAGCTTTGGGCCTTGAAACTTTCCCAGTCCGGCGGATAACCAAGGTGGAGGCGGGGGCTAGGAAGGAAGAGTTATTCTGGGACGGGGGGGGGGGCGGCCCCTGCCGGCCTCCTAGTCCCTAGGGCCGTGGGATCTCTTAGGTTGGGCTGCCTGGCAGCAAACCGAACTCGCCTTCCATCGATGCCGCCGTGCGCTTCTCCCAGCTTGCAGGGCTCAATCTTTGAGGCCTCGAGGCCGGAGCACAGGGTCTGGTCGCCAGCCACAGCCACGCGGAGCTCTTGATTCCGGGCTGACCAGGGGCAAGGCTCTCTGGATGCCCATGTGCGCGGGGTCGGGGCCCCAGGCCAGTTGAGCGCGCGGCACAACCAGGCCCTCAAACCCGTCGCCCTGGCGGAGCAGCAGCTCCCGCCGGGCTTGCTCCTTGGAGGGGGCCTTCGCTGGAGACGCAGCCGCGAATTTGGGGGCTTTTCGGACGCCTTGCGCTCCAGACGGGCAGGTTTCTGGGCGGCACCAGGCGGTGTCCTCTTCGGAGGCCCGTCCCTGCCCGGCACATTTGGCCAGGGGAGGCGGCAGCTCTGTTTGGGACGGTGACTGCGTTGAATTTGACTTTTCGAGGCCGGTCGAAGGTAACCTCGCATCTCCTGGGGACCGCGGGAATTATTTACAGGGAGCTCACCAACCAAACACAACAGTCTAATTTAACCTTTCCAAGTCCTCGTAAATTTTTACAGCTAGGAGCCACAGCGAGGCAAACGAATCTGTTGGTCGTTCTCTACTTCCCACCAGTCTGCGTGGCTTCTGAAACAATAACTCCTTATGAAATATCATAAATATAGATTTAAATACAGTAGAGCGCGAATGCGATTTGGCTGCTTTTTTATAGCTTCAATTATTGTCTAATTTTATGTGAGGGGCTCCGCTGGCCGCACTCGCACGGGGGATCCGCGCCTTCCTGATGGCGTGATTAATTGTGATATAAAATAGTCCTCTTAAGAAGTGTGTGCGCGTCTGCGGCGCGTGGTGGGGTGTACAGAGGTAAGGCCAGATTTGATCTTTTAATCTTCGTTGGCCACAATTAAAACAAACCCGATCATAGAGCGGCGCGATTCCTTTGCATAAAAACATATGGCTTTTGCTATAAAAATTATGACTGCAAAACACCGGGCCATTAATAGCGTGCGGAGTGATTTACGCGTTATTGTTCTGCTCGGCGGGCACGTGACGCGCGCGACCAATGGGGGCGCGGGCGCCGGCAACTTATTAGGTGACTGTACTTCCCCCCCCCCCTGGTGCCACCAAGTTGTTACATGAAATCTGCAGTTTCATAATTTCCACGGGTCGGGCCAGGCCGGCCAGGCGCGGGGCACGGCGATGGCCACCACCGGGGCCCTGGGCAACTACTACGTGGACTCGTTCTTGCTGGGCGCCGACGCCGCCGACGAGCTGGGCACGGGCCGCTACGCGCCGGGGGCCCTGGGCCAGCCCCCTCGGCAGGCGGCGGCGCTGGCGGAGCACCCCGACTTCAGCCCGTGCAGCTTCCAGTCCAAGGCGGCGGTGTTCGGCGCCTCGTGGAACCCGGTGCACGCGGCGGGCGCCAACGCAGTGCCCGCCGCGGTGTATCACCACCACCACCACCCCTACGTCCACCCCCAGGCGCCCGTGGCTGCGGCGGCGCCGGACGGCAGGTACATGCGTTCCTGGCTGGAGCCCACGCCCGGTGCGCTCTCCTTCGCGGGCTTGCCCTCCAGCCGGCCTTATGGCATTAAACCTGAACCGCTGTCGGCCAGAAGGGGTGACTGTCCCACGCTTGACACTCACACTTTGTCCCTGACTGACTATGCTTGTGGTTCTCCTCCAGTTGATAGAGAAAAACAGCCCAGCGAAGGCGCCTTCTCCGAAAACAATGCTGAGAATGAGAGCGGCGGAGACAAGCCCCCCATCGATCCCAGTAAGTGCCACCTCTCTCCAGACCGGCCGCCGCCTCCACGCCGGCCACCCAGATCTGCCGGCCTGCCAGCTTTCACTCGAACCTGCCTTCGCCTGCGCTGGGAGCCTTCTGAGTGGGGCTTGGGAGCCAGAAGTTGTTGTTTGGGAAGCCTCGGATGAGACCCCCAAGTCTGGAGAGCAGTGACGAGCGGGCCCGAGGGGCTGGGGGGAGGGGAAGCTGCTGCCGCCGCCGCCGCCGCGAGAGGGGGCGGGGCAGGGCGCCGCCTGCGGAACCAGGACCCGCCGCCCCTCTCCTTCGCTGCCCGGGCCCGAGACAGGAATACTTTGGGCCGTTCTTCGAAAGCAGCGTGACGGAGAGAGTCTTCGGGGCGGCTAGATTGTTCCGGAGCGGCGGCAGCGACGGCAGCCGGGGCAGCCTGGCCGGGACGCTGGGGGAGACGGCTGATTCCCTCCACTCCTTGCCATCAGTCGGTGGCGGCGTAAATCCTGCCTAAAATGAGGCTGCGGGCTACCCGGCCAGGAGGGTCCCCATCCCAGATTATGCAAATAAGTTGGAGATGTGATCAATGGCCTTGAGGCGCTCAGGGGCGCCCGTGCCGGCCTCCTCGCCTCCCACAAGCTTCCAGGGAGGTCAAATAAGGAGTAGAAGGGAAGATGAGGACAGGAAGACAGAGAGAAATTGAAAGAAAGAGAAAATGTATAAATCTTGATACACGTCCACGGAGCAGTGTGGTTGATTTCCCTCTAGGTAACAAGAAGGGGATCTGTGTCCAAATTTCTTTCTTTATACAACGCGAGGGGAGTGGAGGAAAGAGAGGAGGGGACAGGAGGACAGAGGGGACAAGAGAACAGAGGAGAGCCGCGGAGGGGAGGGGGAGCTGCGGTTTTACGGCGTACAATTGTAAGTGACCGTCCCGAGGTCTGTCTACCAGGGTTTCATTGTGTTCTAGGCTCGTCCGCCTTCCCTAACCTATTCAGCAGCTTCCTGCACTTTGGCCGAAGTCCCTAGGAGGCTCCCTGGCCCCCAGCCGAGGGCGCTTCTCCCCAGCCTAAGCCCGGTGTCTCTCTCCCCCGCAGATAACCCGGCGGCCAACTGGCTCCACGCGCGCTCCACGCGGAAGAAGCGCTGCCCCTATACCAAACACCAGACGCTGGAACTGGAGAAAGAGTTTCTGTTCAACATGTACCTCACCAGGGACCGCAGGTACGAGGTGGCCCGGCTGCTCAACCTCACCGAGAGGCAGGTCAAGATCTGGTTCCAGAACCGCAGGATGAAAATGAAGAAAATCAACAAGGACCGAGCAAAAGACGAATGATGTGATCGGGTTCATTTAGAAAAGAGAGCGAACTAGAGAGAGAGAGAGAGAGAATGGACTGATCTTCCCCTTCTCCCACCCCCGCCCCAGCCTCCACCACCCTGCACAAAGCGATTCCAAACCCCAGGCCTCATCTCCCCCTGGCAAACCCTGCTCAGGCAGTCTCCTTGGCCTGCTGCTTTCATGAAGGAGGTATTGTAAGCTTTCCATTTTCTATAAGAGAACAAAAAGGGGGCATTGGCGCTGATGGCTGTGTGTGCTAGCTTGTATATATTAAAAAAAAAAAAAATCTACCTGTTCCTGACTTAAAAGAAAAATAACTACCTTTTTATAATGCACAACTGTTGACAGCGGACTCTATAGTTTGTAGTCTGTGTAGTTAATTTAATTTGCCCTTTGTGTGGCAGAGCGATCCGCTGAGATACTTGAACACTGTATTTGATTGTGGTAATTATGTTTTGTGACTCAAACTTCTGTGCTGGGTGATGTACCCGTTGTGATTGTGGAAGCTAGAATTCAATTTGAACTCAGGTTGTTTATGAGAGGGGGAAAACAGTTGCATAGAGAGTAGCTCTGTAGTGGAATACGTCTTCTGTGTAACTAGGCTGTTAACTTTTGATTGTAAACTAGCTGTAAGGATTTCCTAGTGAAATAAAAATGGTTAAAATAAATAAAAGGTTCTCCAGAAGACATAGATTCATGGTTCTCTCCACTTCTGAAATGCAAGCATTTTGGTCTCTACACATTCTATTGTCCTGTCTTACCTTACATGTTGTACATATAATCTATGTATTAAAGAAAAAGTACACAATCAGATAAGTTTGGATATTATTTTTACACCAGGTGAACAGTGAGGAGATTCGGAGCTATACGTATGTGCAGGTTACTACCTATGGTTTACATTTAATTTTAGCTGGGGAGAATGAATGCTTATTGTAATGCAGTTAATTTCACTGATAATAAATTATACACTATGAAACCGCCATCGGGCTACTGTAGATTTGTATCCTTGATGAATCTGGGAATTCCATCGGGCTGAACATACACTGTATATTTTGCAATAGTTACCTCAAGGCCTACTGACCAAATTATTGTGTTGAGATGATATTTAACTTTTTGCCAAATAAAATATATTGATTCTTTTCTATTTTTTGCGGGTCGGCTCTTTGCACCTTCTTCTGCAGGGCAGGGGTGCCTGGGTAGTCTCTGGGTGGGGACCAGGACAGGCTGGGGTGGGGGGGATAGAGCCCATTGTTGCCTCTGGCCGGCTTTCCGGAATCCGGACCTGCTGAAGGCAGCCCAGGCTGGCCTACGCGCTCCGGGTCAGGCCGGCTGCCGTGGCCGCGCGAGGAGCAGAGGAAGTCTGGGAATCCTCGCAGCGAGGCTAGGCTCCCAGATTTGTGTCCATATGGGGGACGGTAGGGAGGGCTCTCAGGAGCTGGGATGAGGGGACCCAGGCATCGCTGGTCAGTAGCGATGGAAACGCCATTCTTTAGTCTTGGTGCCCTAGGAAATTCTCCAACCCCGTCGCATGAGACTCCTGGGGCCTTGCCTGGCCTGGAGAGGGAAGGTGGGCGGCAGGACCAAGAGCTGAGGGTCTGCCTCGCGTAAGGCGGCTGGGAAGAGGCAAAAAGGAGCCCAGCCGCCCAGAAGCCTAACGTGGCCGCCCAGGCAGAAATTAAGGGGCGCGTAGTAGACCACAACCCTGCGTGGGCCCCCGCACCCCCCGCGTCCTTACAGCCTGGCGGGAGGGATTCTGGGCCCCGCACTGCGCACTACTCCCGAGCGACAAGGCCTGGCAGAAGCAGGGCCCAGGCAACGAGGAACCCCAAAGCGCCATAAAAGAAAATGAGGGCTGTTACCGTTTATGGGGTGTAAAGGGTTGTGGGGGGAACCGCCAAGACTGCGAGGCCCGAGCGTCTTCCAGATGTGTGGCAGGGATGGCCAGAGGATTCAACTTCGCCTCCCCCTTTTCTTCTGCCGCCCCCACCCCCCCCCGCAACTTCTGCAAAGTTGGCGGTGTTGGTGTTTGGACTCAATGCGTAAAAGGGGAACGGGGCACTGGGGAAGGGGCGTCCCTTCGCCCACTACCCCCACCACCCCGCCGCGGGGTTGGGACGCCCTCTGTTGTTGCAGACAGAGGAACTTCAAAGAATAGGCAGTAAGGGTGTGCCATAAAGGCCGGGTCTGCGAACTGTCTGGAATTCGGGCCTTAATGAGTTTACAGCTGTCCAGCCCCAATTAGGATTTTCCACCAAAGCCCTTTCATTTGTTTGCTCTGTCTGCTGCCGATAAAGCGGCTGCGGAAACTGCTCTCTTTTATGGGCACTGCCCCCTCCGCAGCGCAGATTCCGGAATCCACCGCCCCGCCTGCCCCGGACTAGGCCCCCGCCGCCCTTTGGGAGTCGGGCGCACAAACCAGCCACCGCGGCAACGGCGGCAGCGGCGGCCGAAGTTCAGGCCGGCCGGAGCGGCGGTGTCGCTGTGTGGCCAGCAGATGGCAGTGTGGCTCCACGCAAGAGGCGCTGACGCCGCCATCTCCAGCCTCAGAGAGCCTGGGACGTTCCTAAGATGTCGACTTGACGCGAGCCTTTCTGGAATAGGAGCCCAGATTCGAGTGAACAGCAGTCGTATATTTTTTGGGTGTTGTTCACTCCGGGCCAGAAGCCTCGCTGGCAAGCGGCAAGGAGCTCGCCTTCCTCTCATCGTCCGCTGCCCCAGTGTCCCCCGAAGACTCGGCGCTGTGGGGCTGTAGCTCATTGGCCTGGACGACTCCCGGGTCATCGTGCCCAGCCAGGGACAGGCCCTGGGGCAGCAGAGCACGCGGGAACCCCCACTGACTGGCAGAGGGACACAGGGACAAACGCCTTCAGCCCAGGGACATCCTGATGACTCCCGTCCCCAGCGAGGCCACCGGCCCACGGCGGCCACCGCGGCCAGGATGCCCGCGCCTCCGCACAGGGCCGGGGAGCAAGGACCCCGCGGGCGAGCCAGGACCCGGGACCCGGCCGGCTTGAATACGTGACAATAAAATTGGGCTATTGAAAATTGGGCGTAAAGACTTTGGTGACTGTCCGATGTAAGGGTGTGAGTCTGGCGGCCGAGTTGGCCAGGACGAGGACTCCCGGGGTCAGATCAGGAACTGCTTCATTTATTTTCAAATAAATGTGACTTTCAAATGAACACTTCCAATAATAACCTCTCTCGGGCTCCAGGATCCGAGCTCACGTCGTGGAAGCCGCCTGTACTTTCGGTCGCCATCTCATTGCTTCGGCGGTACGGGTACAGAGGCTTCACCGGCGTCTGCAGCTTGAGGGTCCATGAGGGAGGGGACCCCAAGCCAGGCCTGGCCGCTCCCCGAGCCTGGGCGGAAAGACACTCTGAGCCTCCCGGAGGCGGCCCCGAGCGCTGTCGCGGACCCGCCCAGGCGTGCGGAGAGGTTTCCCAGGGAAGACGCAAAAAGCAAACACAGATCCTTTTGACGCACCTCGGAGTCCTCTGAACACAACGCGCGGTGCATTTATTTGGGTCGTAATAGTCTCCAGCAAGCGCACAAAATGTTTATGACCCACATCTCCACTCTGTACACGCCATAAAACTGGGGACTGGATTTTGGCTGACATCTCTCTTACTGTGTGTGTTTTGTCTCCTTTTTTCTCTCTGTATCCACACAGTATTTTGTCTGTAGGTATCACAGACACACGTCTTCATTTTATTTTTATTTGGTTCACAAGGTTGCATAACATCTGAGTGTAAGAAGGGTTTTATAGCTTACCGGAAAGCCACCCGTGGTGCTGTATCCAAGCCGCAGATTTTAGAAAGCTCGATTTATGTAACTCCAAATAAGTTGGCAAAGGAGCAGATCGGTGGCGACCGCTTCTCTCCACCGATCGCGGAAGCTCCAGGTAGGCGCAGGCCGCCCAGAGTGTCGGAGGCCTCGGGACCGCGCGGCGGGCCTCCTTTGCCCTTGGCCGGCCGGAGGTTGCTTGGCGGCTCTCTCGGCCTCAGGCCGCCAGGGAGAGGCTTCCCCGTGGCCGGCCTTTGCCCAGACAAGACCTCGCGGCGGTCGGTGCTCGTTTGCACGCGTCAGGATGGGCTTGTCACCGCGCCCCGACCAGGGCCCGATCCTTGGGTGGAGAAGAGACGCATAGCCCGCGCGAGGGGCCTGGGTGGACATGTTCGGAGACTCGAATCGCGAACCGCAGGGCTCCTCAGCAGGCGCCACTCGCTTTGGAGACCTGGGTTTACATTCTTCGCTCGATTTAAATATTGAGAACTATTTGTGTAGCTAGAAGCAGGGGAAACACACTCTCCAAATAGGTAGGAACCCAGCTGCCAGAGAGCAGCGAACAGTGTCTTTATTTAAAGCAAGTCGGCTGATTGGAAACTCGCCTACCTGTGCATGAGCCGGGCCAAGTGTTAACGAACATTTTTGTGAATATCATCACACATAAGCTAGTGCACTTGTGTCTTTTCAGCTAAAGAAATACAGAACCAATAGTTCCAGGACATGCGAATAAAGAGGCTTTATTGAAAGGCTGATTTAGTCTTGCCTTTTCGTTTTAATACCCGGCCACGGGCAGCAGGAGGGAAGAATGCCAAAAACGAAAAGGAGGTTTCAGTGCCCGGGGAACTCGGCCCAGGTGGCTGACTTGGGCCCAGAGGAGCCGAGGCCTTGCGGGCCGGATCTGGATCCACCTTGGCCAGGTTGGAGAGGCCGCGCGCGGCCAGGGCCGCTTGGAAACGCTGCGAGCACCGTAAGGCGCGGGAGCCCAGCCCTGGGTCGGTGGGCATGTTCCTCTTTTTCGCCCCAGTTCCCCGAAATCGCTCCCCACTCAGGCTCCTGTTCGCCTCGCTCGGACACATTTTACCTTAAAGGCCACCGCTGCAGGCAGCTTGTCCGCCCGAGTCTAGACAGACGGCGGCGGCGGCGGGGCCATGGTCTTGCTCTTTGCGTCTTGCTCACTGTGTCACCCAAGGCACAATGTATTGGTCTAAAGACGCCTAATTCCACCTCTTTGATCTAGCTTTCTTCTTATTTCCTTGTCTCCCTTTAACTTACTTAGGTTTTTATTTCCTTCCAGAAAACAATGTTATTCGGAATATATTTTATTTTTCTTCTCGTCCTAGCCCCTCCACTTCCCATCCGAGAAAACCGTCCTCCTGAACTGCCAGAAGGGGACATCCCAGATATTGCCCCCCCCCTCCAGGATCCGCATACCCTGGGGGATGCCGCCAGGCGCCCACCTGTCCTGACCAACCGCTCCTTCCCACCTACCCCCAGGGCGTCCACTCCATAGGAGCTGGGACTCCTGAGCTTCCCAGTCTAAACACTCCGCAGCCTTTTGTGCCCCAAGGACCTCCTGAGAGGGTGCGGTGAATGGAGGGGCGGTGCAGCCAGGACCCTCAGAAAGTGATGGGAAGCGCTTTGTACACAAGGAACCAAACTCTATAATTTAAAGGAAAATTTCCGGGGCAATTCCATTGTGAGCTAGGGTTTATGGTGTGCTATCGAGCTGGGCAGTAAAAAGCGTCCTGACCCGGCGGCCGCGCTCCCAGCATGGCCTGGGCAGTTTATGATGCGTTTAGGGGAGGGATTCCCCCCGCCACCCTCCTTGGATCGGTGGGTGGCAGGAGCTGCAGTGGGCTCAACCTTGCAAGGGTCTGAGGCCTGGAAAGTTAAATGCCAGGCATTGGGGCCTGGTAGAGAGAGAGTGAGATTACTGTATGCCAGGAAGCTGGCCCTTGGGAAGGTGAAGTGTGACAGAGCTAGATGGCACTTTTGTTTTTGGTGTTTCCAAACTAAAAGAAGGTTCCACAATGGGCCAGTAGCCCTTGGGCCCCCTCTCTCCTTTCCAAATTGGGGTCTAAAAATTGCATTGCTCCGAGGCACCCTGGCCTCATGACGGAGCTGGCAGAGGCTCAGTGGTGGCTGGGTTGAAGGTTATAAAAAAATACTCAAAGCGCTGGAGGCTCCCCCAGAAAGGTTAGAGGATTGAGGTTTGAAGTTCTTTCAAGCTGGGGGAAGGGGACACGGCTCCCAGGGAGCCAGGGGGAAACAGAGGTTGCCAGGAGGACAAAGGAGTGTGCAGCCGCTTTTCCAGCTGCCGAGGCCAGCCAGGTGCCCAAGAGCCAATGCACAGAGCC